TTCAGTAGAACATAAATTAAAGTTAATTAGCGTAAACAGTTTATTACATGAACATAGGCCTAATTAATGATCAAGATCTACTCTGTGTGTGTACAACAGTCGCTTGCACATGCTTGTATGATAATCTGATTTAAACACAATACATTTATTTAGTGGTTTTTTTTTTTGTTTTTTTTTTGTTTTCATTTTGGAAGCTGAACAACAATAATTTAGGCCAAAAAAATGGCTACCGTATCTGAAAACGCCATTCCTCTACACCCAGGCCCAATGTCTGTTTTCAAAATGACCAACAGAGAATGAATGAAAATAAATGGGGAAAAAATAATGCCACCCTAGCTTAGCCTACTGCACTAAATTTTGATACTCATCGTATATGTTGATTATTTATTGGCGGTCACTGTACTTTATTTTGAATAGGACTACAAATAGTAGGTCTATTGTACACTTATTTTTGATATAGGCCTACCATAATATATTTTAAATGCAAGGTTATTCCCAACTATTATATCGGAACAAATTATAGACAATAAATCAATGGATGGAAAAAGCAAATTAAAGAATAAAATAATGGTAATATGTTAAGAGATCGTAATTTAGTAAATATCCCATAGCCCATTGAGTACTGGACCAAAGTCAAGCGTCTAACTTTTACTTCGATAGAACATAGAGTATGTCAAAACCCAGGCCCTACACTTCCAGCCGGCGATGCAGTACACTGTAAGGAAGACGTTCCAAGTCCACTTGATACGCCGTGGCGTATCAGCAATTGAAAACTACTTTATACATTACCAGTGCGTTTTATGAATGAAATTAAAATCCCTGTAGTAATATAACATAGTCATTTGGTACATTCAAGCGTTTAAAAACGATTTAATGATTATACATTTTAAATTTAATTATTTTGAAAAATGATTATAAAATTAATAACCCATATGGAATGGTAGAGTCCATGGTTAATCAACGACGCAACAAAACATGTGCTTCGCTGTTTGGTGAAAAGCAATACATTGAACAGCAATACATTGAACAGCAATCTAGAGAAGACAAGGAGAAAACAATATTTTACAGTATACAATACAATACCTTTTTTAAAGAGCCTGATAATCATATATAATAAATGTATTCTTTTACACTAAACTTCGAGATTAATCAACATTGAAATAGAATAGAGTCTAGGTTTGTGCCGCATCAAAACATGTGTTTCATCGGTAGAAAGGGGTGAGAGCAGTACATGTAACTGCTAGCTGGAGAAAATTGTTTTTGCTTTTTTTTTAAAGCGTTTCTCGTCACATACAATGGATATACTGTTCCACCAAGGTTCCAGAATAATCAATATTAAAATAGATTACATATAGGCCTAGGACAACTGCTCACATTTATATCAGATATACTAATATGAAGTTCAATATTTTTTTTGTATTTCGCTAACACTGAAGGAAGTGTACCTTATCTACGTTCATGATCGGATGTAGGCCTACTGTAGACCGATTATCTGTCTGTCGTCCTAGACAGTTTTATTTAATAATCTTAATTAATACTAAAACGATATAAGAAATGATAATGTTAAAGACTAACTGTAAAAAAGATATAATTAGGCCTAACAAAAATTCATAAAAATTGCCAGTTTTCGATTTTTAATTTTACTCCGTAATTTTTCTGAGTAAGCCAAAGCCCAGGCCTATCCATGGAGGTATAATATCTATTTCCTAGGCCTCTCCTAGTTTTATATTTATGTGAGTAGATGAATTATTATTTTATAGTTGCATATTGCGGCTACCCTGGATATTAAAATTTCTTTTAAAAGACATGCACCTATTTTTTTTTTTTTTTTTACTGAAAACTACCATGCAAGATAGTCAAAATTGACTTAATGCTTCGCCCCCTTGCACCCCCAACAGGGGCTCTGCCCCTGGACCTCGCCGGGGGCCCTAGGTGGCCCCCTGGCCCCAGCCTAAGGCTGCTCTCTTTGTTCGCCGGCTGCTCTTTGTTCGCCGGCTGCGCCCCCCCCCCCCCTTTTCTGGCAGGCTGGATCCGCCCCTGATTAAGGCGTACGTACGGGTTACATAAGGCGTACGTACTCCTTAATAAGGCGTACGTACGATTTTATAAGGCGTAAGTACGCCTTATTAAGGCGTACGTACGGGTTACATAAGGCGTACGTATGCCTTAATAACCCATAAGGCGTACATACGACTTATAAGTCGGTATGCACGCCTTAATAAGCAGGGGTGGCGCCAGGACCTGCCCGACGGAGGGGCTAAAGGCCCGACGGGGGGGGGGTAGTGGAGCGAATCGAGTCTCACTTGGCTGGGGGCCAGGGGGCCTCCTAGGGCTCCCGGCGGGGTGCAGGGGACGAAGCCCCCTGGAAGCCACGGATATTTGATGAATTATGGCGAATTTTTATTACTTATTTGATAGGCATCGAGTTACTATAATATGACTTCATGTAGGCTATGCTTTCTAATGTTGACATCAGCTTCCAAAACCAAAACATTTTGAATAAAGCAAGAAACAAAGAGTATGCAATGTAACCGTCTAATTTATTTTCAAATCCTCATTCTTGAAAGTGAAATTCTATATTTTGGAAATTTTGCATGATATCTGTCAACCACGTTGTCATGGTCGAGGTTGCTTCACCTATCACGATGTATTCCAACCACCATGAGGCTATCTAAATGAGCATTTGTCATAACAGAACGCAAATTATTTTAATTAGTCTTATTGAATTGTTATTATTATTATTATTATTATTATTATTATTATTATTATTATTATTATTATTATTGTTGTTTTTGTGATTGTTGTTGCGATGAAAAGTTAACACAAACGATATGGTGGCTAAACGAATATTACATGTAATTTTTTTTTTTATTTGTTTGTTCCCCCGACAAAATTTATCGTCTTTCCCGACGGGGGGCTATGCTTCCCCGACGGGAGGGGGATATATCCCCCCCCCCCTCTGGCGCCACCCCTTTTAATAAGGCGTACGTACGCCTTAATAAGGCGTACGTACGGGTTAGAACAATAAAAAAAATCACCATGTCTCTTAAACAGCTTCGTAAATAAGGTCAATATCAACATCATTTTTTTTAATCACTCATGAGCAAAAACATGCTACGTGCGGCTACTGGACTAGTGCAGATTAAAAAAAAAAGACTATATATCACCTGACTTACACCAAATACCAGTTAAAAAAGGGAACACTTGTTATTGTGCATGCGAATATTATTTATTCATGGAAGAATAATTTTAAAAGTATTCTCCAATGGACGTATTTTATAGCAGCTAGGCTTTAATGAAAGGTATTAGGTAATATACTACCTACTTGTTTCTATTTAACTGGCTTCGGGCAAACCGCTCAATCAAGAAAAGTTGGCAAAAATATTTTAGCCATAATATATTACATACCACCAGTAAAAGTGTAGATGTCATGATTAATACAGCATTTGTTTTGAGCTCTGCCAACACCAGCAACACAGCACAGCGCGACTAAACATGTATAAACACGCATCATTCCGAATCCTTATCAATCGAATCCTATCCTGTAAATGAAGTAGACATCAGAGTAAGTGGTTTTTGTGTCTGCCGGGATAGAACGAGTAAATGTATATACAGATATCACTGGCCTGACAATACAAATATCACGCCTCAATGAGCAATTCCCATGTGACTAGTAGTCGTGTGACTGAAGAAGCTGGTTGTAAAGTTTGTTTACCGTATGCATTTCCAATAAAATATGTATTTTTAACTAAGTCTCAAGAAACAGATCTTGGTATGGGCACTTATTTATCACACTCGCTGTTTCATCTTCGTTAACATTGAACATGAAAAATTGCGTATAGTTCAAATTTCAGTTCATATTTTTGAACATCTCGTGGCTTATTTATTCTGATGCACGATAATACTACCAAGTGTATTGCAAGTGAGGCACAATAATTGGTATTTCTCAGTTAAGCTGCGCTATCAGCGAGCAATGAAGCAAGCACTAGAACGGAAAGGGGCGTTGTTCATCAATGAAAACGAGATGCTCACGACAGTTATTATAATTATTATAATATAAAATTATATAATTTATTATAATATGAGAAAATGTGTGTAAATATAAGATTGGTTTTTGCACATGACATAGGTAAAATAAAGTAAATCCAACTAGGAAAATAAAGTTTTGTTTTTCTATTGTACTTCACAAAGATTAATTACATCTCTATACTTGCCCAAAATTGCTGATAAAAGATTATGGATAATGACACTTGGCGCCGCCTTCACCATATTTCGGCACTGCTGGCATATTCACACGTCATACGACATGTAATGATATGTTGTATACAATAATATACAGTAGGCTATTCTGACTTTCTTGTATGTTCCTTTATTGGTCTTGTCATACTTATGAATATGAATTTTGAATAAAGATACCGATATATAATATTTATTATTATATATATACATATATATATATATAATATAAATCAAGATAGCCGTTAACACTCTTAAATTATATATATAAATCATCAAAGAAATGTAATACAGTGTTCAAGTATAGAGTATATATATATATAGGCCTATATATATATATATATATATATATTATATATATATATATAT